TGATGAGCTGTGGTTCCTGAAAATGAACCACGGCTGACTCTAGTGAGTCGGGTCTATAGAACAGCTCAAGAGCCCATCTCTAGATCTGAGCTGATGATCTGGAGCTGAAGTCGAGAATAGTGAGAGCAAATCTGTGGAAGAATTAACATCAGAAATAAAATCTGTATGTAGACTGGAATGCATAGCTTGAGAAAAGGCGCGTGACATTTGTGCCAAAATTTCTATAATTTCATGGTGAGCTAAAGAGCTGTTTGAAAGAATAGACTCCCTTTAATGAGCTGGACGGGTCTGATCCGCTCAGCTAGATGAACTGTTTTGCCACCTCTAGTAACAACCAATCGTCCCCAAATTTTGCACAGTTGTTTGGAACCTAACATGGAATTAAAGATGCTGTGTTCTCGCTTGATAAGGTCAAGTTTGCGTTGTAACACACTATGATAATTTTACCGAAATTTGTGAAAATTTACCGAAATCTCAACAGCTGAACGTTCGGTAAACAGTTCGATGTTGAGCTGTTGAGATTTCGGTAAAATTTCACAGATTTCGATAAAATAATTTTAGTGTGTAGTAGCCATACTTTTCACAGATATGAGTAGATCCTACTCAAACTCGAGTTGTTAAGAAATAGCGTGCAGTCAATCCTACACGGTAAGAAAAAAGTACCCAAAAGTCAGTTCTTTTCACTCATATCGGCACCATAGTGCACGAAGCCAAAATTAGGTAAAGCTGGTCGAAGTAGTTTTCATTAGCTTGTGTGCAATTCGTATTGTATTTTCCACTCGCTTTCTACCCAAAAGTAAGTTAGTTGTACCCAAAAGTAGGTAAATATCATTATACTCAACGTTGGCTTCCCACACTTTAATACCCCTGTTGGGTGGTTTTGCTCCTCCGACTTTGACAACATTAGAAGGAGACAAACAAGTCAAAAGTAGGTAAGGTAGGTACCGTGTACCGTCAAAACAAACTTCACGGCAAAAGAACCTGACTCATATTTGAGTACACTCAAATTCGCAAAAGCGTACAGTGAGGCAAAAGAACGTAAGAATTCCATAAGAACCACTTATGAATTTTAGTCACAAGAAATTGTAACATTTACTCATATTTGAAGCAAATTGAATTTGGGCGAATTTGAGTGAACGGGACTCAAATGTGAGTCAGATTAATTTGCCGTGTAGACCCTTTGATAAACTATCAAGTCGAATAATGCATTAGGTCCTAAGCAACAGTGATCGATTCTTTTCGATGACTTCCTCTTTCATTGATAACTTGGCTACACAACCGTTTCTTGCCGTTTTTGCCGTATTAGATGCTAGATAATAGCTTCTTTTATCGAACTGTGTGTTGAAAATAACTGAAAATGTCTATACATGGCCGTGGGGATGGAAAGAGAAAATCTACGAAGGAATCTACCGACTGCAGCTGGACACTGGAAATTTTTAAATAAATGCGATTACATGAGCAAAAATCACTATCTTAGCACCCCTCGATGGGACTTTGTATGGGAGTGAGCTGTCATTTAGTTAGTTTAGGGTCAAAAAGGGAAGTTATTATTTTGCTTTAAATCTTGATTTTAAAATCGATGCGTTCGAAAAGAAATACCGTTTTTCAAAATTAAAGAACCCGGAAGATTATTGTTTTTGTTTTATAAATTTCTGTTGATGAAATTGCAATTTTCTTCTCCTTCTTATTCGCATTTCAAGTTTATTGCACATCGCATATTAGCTTATTGCGTGCTCACAACTTAGTGCTCTAGATTAGTTATTAATTGAGAGCTTTCGATGCCTGTACCATTTTTGCATTAGTATAATTGTGTTGCAAGTCCAATCATACTCTATTGCCTAGGGAAGTCAATAAATTTTCCAACTCGAAAAATTCCTAAATCGGACCGGAAATCGAACCTGCAGCATGGTCTTGCTTTGTAGCTGCGCCTTTGCCGACTGAGCTAAGGGAGGCCCATTGCAATGTTCCAGAAGTGTTAAAATGTAAGCATTGCTCTGCCAAACCGCTTAAAGCATCGCACATGCCCGATTAAAGGGAAGCCTTACAGCGAAATGGCAATGTGATGGATAGCCTACCCCACAGCGCGTGGCGAGAGCAATTATCTTCTTTTTTTTTTGTGGCATGTGAAATTTGATACAATTTTTGGGGGTTCTCTCGCATTAAGCACACAACAATGACGTGTTGTTTGCAGGCAGAGTGTTCTTATTGCGTCGAAATAAACGCATTCGACGGTGGAAGAACAGAAAGCAATTTCAAAACAGACAAACCGGGCCTGTAGGGCTGGTTGAACGAGATTTTTCCTAATTTAATTGCTGCTTTAGTTAGTTTGTTCTCATTATCTGTGTGTGCACCGGGCCGATCAACAGAAGTTGATTATCTCTTTGCTTTTGCTAGCAAAGTTCCCTCTCGAAAGAAGCAAGTTCCCACTAGTCTAGGGGTAAATGAGATTCGAAACAGAATTGATTAAATCATCCAACGGAAGAATTGAGGAAAATTGTTCAACTCAGGGGGGTCACAGCAGAACGGAGTCTGGCAGTGCAATCTCGACTGATGAAATTGGACAGAAGGGAATGCAGGGCTGGTAGCAATCACTGCTGGTAAAAATAGTGATTTTAGTGATCATGTGAAATAAGTGACCAAAAATAGTGACTCATAGTTGTAAAAAATAGTGACTAAAAAGTGTCCTAAGAGAAGAGAAGAAGCCATGATGGCACACCAAATAAATGTTTGATTTTTTAGACTTATTCAATTAGTATCTCATAAACACTTATGTACGAAATGAACCTTTAAAACGAAAGATTCAATAGAAAGTTTATGGTCAAACCCACGGTATTAGACTACGAACTGCAAAAACCTGGAAAACCGGGAATCATCAGGAAATTTTATTTTCCTTAAAATATCTGAAAGTCTTAGAGAATTTAATAATTTTATTACTACGGATATTTTAAACAAAATAATAAATTTTAAAATGCAAGCATTTATTTTTATCGTTATTTTCATTCACACTTTGAACTTTATAGATCCACAGTGGATTAACCTTCAACCTCGCCTTCAACAACAAAATTTAAAAAAAATCAGAGGCTTGAAATGTTAGTTCGATTTTTTTTTTAACATGCATATAGTTTCAAATTCTGTGCACAGTTTTAAAGGCTCGTGGTATTTTATAATAATTTCTAAAAACTTCGTTCCATGGGAGTTCTGGGAAAAAAATCTTTCAGAAAAACATCAAATGCAATCTGCTTTCACGGTAGTTCTGAGGAACTTTAGATTTCATGTGAAGGCTGATAGTTTTGAGTTGAATTTCAAGAAACCCTGAATTGAATCAAAAGTAAATTTTAATGAAAAAACTTTTAACCTCTATTGTGCCATTTAAAAAAGTTTGTATCGCTGCGCCATCTTTGCGGCTAAAACTTGAACTATTTTATCAACCAAATTATAGTCCTAACTAATCCAAGAAACTTCACTGAAGATGTCAAATCAATTGGATGCAATCCCAAAGCGTTATTAATTTATTCCGGCTAAATTTAATGGCCCACTGTGCGCTGTGAACTGGTTATGATATTATTTATTTTGAGTAACTGAGATTGGACACGAGAGAATGTTAGAATCGGTGACAAAAGATCAGTATCTTCGCTTGTCACTTATTAGCACGCGACCGGAAATGAACCTTTGAAGAGGTGCAATATTCGCCGAAAGCTATAAATAGTCGTACCTTATAATTAAATGTGTTTCATGCTAATTCTGGCAACACTGCTTCACTGACTCAAATGCTCTTCCTTCCTTGCATTACAAACCGCCAGCTGCGCAAAAACCAGCCCGCATATAGTACCTAATTAAATCAGGCCCATACACAGACAACGGGTAAACAAGGTTACATTCTCTACACCACTCTTACATTGTCGCTAGATTAGTTGCGATTGCGACAAAAATCTATTTAAAATTCCGACGATGATTTCAACTCCAACCCAGAAAAAAACGGGTATTGAGCGAGCACATCCCAGACAAGCTGGCGGCAGCGGTTCTGGGTGATGGTGGCCAGTAGCAGTGTAGCCGGTGACCTAGATCACGTTTCAATGTCGTTGCCCGCGCCCTAAATCCATCGACTGAAAGTCTGAAGGGAAACACACATATTGAGCATTGTAACCCAGAGTCTGTCTGTACATGTAGGATCAAAGCAAGCAAGGCGCCTCGACGTCGACGGTGACGACGTGATGGCGCATAGCAAATTTATTACCACCGCCGAATAAAGCAGCCTACAGTACAGGCAAGCAGGCGTTGCCCGCTCTTGACAGCTGTCAAAATTAAGGACGCGGGCTTTCAGCACCGTCTACTACGGTTTTCCAGATGTATTCTTCTTCAGGGCATTAGACTCAAGTTCACGGTTGAACGCGCGAAGTAGGATGAAAGTGAGGATTTACTCAATTATAAACAAATTACTAACTACAGCTCCAAGATCTTTCCCGATTCAGACAGTTATCAAGTTTACACAAACGCGGTCATAGCAAAAACTCATTAAAGTTTTATCTCATCCACAACGTTTTTTGCCGAACGATTATTCTCCCGGGCGGCAGGCGACGGAGAAAGTAAATAATCTAGGTGTGACCGTCCTTTTACCAATTCGGTCTCGCTTCCTGTCGCACAATCCCGAAAGAGAGTCAGAAAGTTGTCAGAAAGCTTCCCCGCTATCAGCCGCCGGATGGAATCTAATTAATTCGATGGCACGATTGGAAATGTGAGAGTGAAATCTGTTTCTTTCCGATTTGTCAGCTTTTCCATTCAATGCGACCTTCCACTACCACAACCTTTGTTGGACAGGTAGTTGACCTTATCGCTGATAGAAAATCTCGATTATCGGTTCAGGATTTCAGGACCGATGCCATCCAGAGAGAAATTATTGCTATTCCGATGATTAGAATCGATCCCTTCCAATTAGGAGCAAAAGCTCTGGCAGCACTGTTCCCTGGGAAAACGACCGAACCTGTCATCGAACCACCACCCACCTGTTCACTTCCTCGTGCCAATCCGGCTCCGTCGAAATGGAGGCCCGCTTGTCGTTTTCGATCGCGATCGATACTTCGCTGAGACACTGCTTCAACCGTTCTGACATGGTCCCAACCGGCGGCATTAGCAGCACACCTAACATACGGATGAACACCTAAAATTCCCGCACCGTAAAAACGCCAAACTCTCGTCTATTTAACCAATGCACATGATCAACACCGCAAGCATTAGTAGGCCGCGTCACCTCACCACCGCGCCGCACTACACAACTCAGCGGACAATGACAGCTAATTAAGCTGTCACTTTTGATCCACCACCTTCGCCTTTTGTTTGACACTTTTACGGCGGAAAAAAAAATAACGCTTTTGAAGGTGAAAATTTTCCCGTTTCCACTTTGCACTCGAAACGGACGAGAAAACGAAAACAAAATCGCGATTTTTCACTCCGACCAGCGCGTCGTCGCGGCAGGGTTGTCGGGGGTAGCCCTTCTGGACTCCGTAGCCAACCGATGTCGACGAACGGACGGACGGACGGACGGACGAACGATTCACACTCTCTGTCTCGGTCGGCGGTCCGGTTCTACTACCGAACTAATCAACTCGCTCTGGCTCAGATGGTACACGGGGAACGATCTTTGCCCCCAAAGTCCCAATCCTGTTGTTGGTGGTTGTGATGATTGCGATGGATGAAGATGCTAGTCGTGGGTAAAAATAAACCAGAAGCCAATTGTCTTACCCTCTCAGACAGGGGAAAGCAGCGCTAAAAATAACCCATGTGGTGAATTCCTCCGAGTATACAAACATGTGCGAAATTTGAATCGTCATCATCACCTCGTAGCAGGCCGCGCTCGGTGGAAAGCGGTCGAAATTCGGAAGCGGGAGCGCCAATACTTTATCGAAACGTCATTGTGTATTGTATGCAACCCACAAAACACGGTGTCACACACCTACGGTGACACCTGACCAAACTGTTGAATATTTTAACGCATTCGCTTTTGTCCATGCAGTGATAATGGTGGGAAGGTACGTAGTTGGAAATTGACACTTTCGTTCCGTGTGACAACGAATAATCCACCACGAAGTTGTTAAACATTTTATCGAAATTCGATTTCCTAAAAATCGCATCTCCCATTTCCAATTCGGTCAACATTGGATCTCGGAGAAACCCCCTGTTCGTCCGGCAAAGTCACGAATTTCATTTCGCACGGCCCCAGGATTGTTTGTGAATGTAATCTCCATCATCAGCAATCCGATCCTGACGAAAAGTTCTCGGGATGACAGATACCTACTCTCGAACGTCAACATCCCGGAAGTCGATGTTTTATTCATGAGGAGAAAGAGGCGGAGAAGAAGATACGATTCCTGGCAAGCGCATAATACCACCAACAACAACATCAACAAAACACCAATCAATACTCCGTCAAATGTGGGAGGGAAAGGTTTTCGGTTGCTTCCTTCGCTTCCCATTCCTTTCCGCCCGTGGTTTTGCCATCATTATGCATACAGTCGTGTATCGAAAGGACGACGGAAAGTTTTCCGTCAAGTGGTTCCTGATTTCTGCCGCGAACAATGTTTGTTTGTTAATGTATCAAAGATGTTCTGGGATTTAGGATGGAGGGAAATGTGACGGCAGTGATAAGAATACGCAAGAAACCGGCCTTCGGTGGCTCTGTAGATGATTTGGCAACACTGGTTTGACACAACCTGAATTGTTAATGGTGACGACAATTTTGACCTTTTATTATATTTAACTACCGTATTCGGAGCACTTGCGGTAAACGTTGGACCGTATGAATAAAAAGTAGTAAACTTATGCTTCTGTAGCATCTACTCGAATATACAGCCTGCGGCAGTTGAAGTATCTCCGGTACGTAAGTCCGGTATGAATTTACATTATTTTCGAAGATGAAGTCGACAGTGAGCATGCATAAGGGCGTAAACGCGATGATCGATTCTCTTCGCCGGTTTTCTCTTTTGATAATAACTCGCTAGATTTAACGTTTCTCGGTGCGTTTGCTGTTGCTTTTGATAGCCAATACAACATGTTACAACTCTGCATTGAACAAATTCTAGAAAATTGTTTAGCTTAGCTGCAGCAATGCAAAGAGAAAATCGATGAAGAGAATCGATCATCGCGTATACGCCCTTATGCATGCTCACTGTCGAAGTGGTCTTTCGAAAAGCTGTGAACAGTGGTTGGAGATGGCGAAATCACGAACTTAATTGAATTGTGTTAATCTAAAAACTGTCTTCAGAAACTGCCAACAATTTTACTATTTTAAAAATGTATCATGGCCTACTAAAAATAAAATGAAAAACCCAAGGGGTAGGTCACTCCGCACATCCGTCATCTTTTTTGTCAGTGTGCCGCAAGTATGTCGATTGTGCCGGTCATAGAGCAAGCTGCGATTGTTTGTAAAATACCCATCCCGGCAACCCGGTATTTCTGACACCTTGAATGTTTTGGTTTGAAATCGCAAAGATAAATCGGATTGACAATAAAAAGACCTGTGTTTTAGTGTTTTATAATGACCTCAAAGGCAGACTAGAAATGTAGCTTTTCGGCCGGAAAGAGTTGGAACCGGTGGGGAGCATTGTTGGAGACAGACTATACAGGGTGATGAATAGACTTCTTCAGTTTGTTTTGTGTGATTTGCAGCATTATTTAAATTAAGAGTACTAATGAGGTCTGATTAACTGCCTCTTCCTCTTGAGTCCACTCTAGAATCTACATTTCGTATTAAGATCTATAAGTGAACTGCTGGTCTGAGTTCCTCTGGTATATTCAATTAGAAGGTGTTGCTCAACATACTGTCAAACAGCACGTCATGTTCTGAGCAACTTCAATGACAGTTGTCCAGCAGCGCTCCCATTTTATTTACAACAGTCTAATGCCTACGAGATTGTGCCGGAGGTATGCCGAAAGTGTGCCGATGGATGTGCCCAAGCTGTGTAGAATATAATTCCGGCACAATGTGCTGAGTGACTTACCCCTTGGAAAAACCTAACTTTTCCCCTAATGGAGATAGAAAGTTATTTTTTCCGGCAAAGTTGTAGCGTTGCTCAAAATATGAAAAGTTTGCGGAAAATACCAATTTTCTATGACTAATAGTTTTGGAAATGTGGACCGCTACCAAAGCCCATTTAAATTTAGTTTTTAATTTTTAACTTTTTATATATTTTTCAAGCCTTAAACGGTTTAGCGGCGCCGGTGGTGTAGTGGTAAGCGTGATTACCTCTCACCCCAGCAGGCCTGGGTTCAATCCCAGTCGGCGCCGCCAGGATGTTCTGAGGCATAACATCTCAAGGGAAGTAAAGCCGTTGGTCCCCGGTTCATGAGTTGATGGGTCGATAGGTAGGGTCCAGGTGTGGGAGCTGCCTCGCTGGCGTCGGTAGCATTGGTGCTCAGCACGGAAAACAAGATCGACGGAAATCAAATCAAGAAAAAAAAAGCCTCAAACGGTTCCAAATCGAGTCCTGATTAGCCTCCCAAAATTTTAACTCTTTTGGTAAGAAACTGACTTGGCACAAACCATTTGAAGTTCGCATGGAAATTACTATGGGAAAATCAATCTTTTTGACTTCTAGCCATTTTCCATATTGCTCTGTTCCAAAGTTCTATAACTATTCTTATGGGAAACTTAGCTACAATTTTGCAGAAGATCGATCACAGTCAAACGTCAATTAAAATAGTTATTAGTTGTTTAAGAGACTGATAATCTTAAGTCATGATCAAGCAGCTGTTTTGTGGGCAACTCTGTATTCAGCAGTGTGACATAAAGACTGTACTCGAAACAATGTAACAGACAGAAATAATCACCAAAAATTCTTTTTAAGTCGGATATTTTTTATTTTTTTTAATAAATAGCTAGCACGCCTCTAGTGTTGGGAATCGAAAATCTTTGACAGTGGTTTGTTTACACTTCTATAGAGAACAACTGGTGCAAGTTTGATCAGAGTAGTCGATCGCGTTCAGAAATAACGTCAAATGGAACTCGAAAGAAGAAAACACATTGTGTACAAACACCTGGAAAATCCGGAATGGTCCGGTTCCAAGCTGGCTTAAGTGCTAAAGATGCCAAAAACAACAGTTTGTCGAGTGCTCAAAACCTACGAGGCAACCCTGAGTGTGGAAAGGAGTCAGCGGACTACGAAACAACAGGCATCAGATGTTGAGGTGCGTTAAAGCCAACCTCGGTCTTTCGATCCGAGATGTGGCCAGAAGGTAAAACGCCAACTTTAAAACGGTGCGGAACATCCTTGCTAGGGAAAGATGCAAGTCGTACAAAGCCAGTAAACATCCGAACCGGCACATGAAGCAGAATTCCGTGGTCAAGAAGCGTGCACGGCTCTTGTACGACCGTGTTTTGACGAATCACAAGGGCTGCACTTTGCTCGATGACGAAACATACGTCAAACTCGATTTTAAGCAGCATCCCGGTCGGAAGTTTTACATCGCGACTGGACGTGGGGATGTGCCGGGAAGATTCAAATTCGTGTTTGCCGGTCAAGTTCGCGAAGAAGGCCATGATTTGACAAGCGATTTGCAGTTGTGGCCTGATAATTGAACTTTTCTTCAAATCCTCGACGATGACATCCCAAGTTTACATCGAAGAATGCCTGAAAAAGCGTGTATTGTTCATCCGCAATCATAGCAATGACTTTTGGCCTGATTTGGCCCGCTGCCACTACTCCAAGGTGGTTCTGGAGCGGTATGCTGCCAACAAGATCGATCGCCAAGCTAATGAATCCTCCGAATTGCCCGTAATTTCGACCAATCGAAAAATACTGGGAAATTTCCAAGCAGTGACTTCGACGAAGCGGCGGGGCAGTCAAGCCAGCAAATGCGGGCTAAATGGAACAAATGCGCTGATTCCGTGTCCGTTTCCACTGTGCGGGCGCTGATGGGCTCCATCAAGAGGAAGGTTCGAGATTTCGTTCGAACTGGAGAAATGTAACCATCTAATGCTGTAACTGTGAAGTTTTAATAAAAGTACTGTAAAGCAACCATTAAGGGACCTTTTAAACTTATTGAATCACGAATTACAGGTCTTTTTGTGCGTACCAATTTACTTTTAGTCAGCCTTTATTAGCTATGTTTTTGCAAAATGGGTTTATTCAACCTCCTCTCCTAGGCTAAATGCCCGCACCTTGGACTTAACTCCCATCAAATCCTGTGCAACACTTGCGCCATCTTTCTTACACACTTTCGTCCACTCTTTCTTCAAATCCTTGTCGTTTTTGAAGGCCTTCCCTGTTTTCCGAGGCTTGCCCATCAGAATTTTTCTATTGGGCGAAGTTCTGGCGAGTTTGGCAGATTTGCCTTCTTCGGCACAAAAACAACATCGTTTGCTTCGTACCACTCCATCACCGGTTTCGCGTAATGGTACGATGCCAGATCCGGCCAAAACAGAGTGTCACCTTCGTGGGACCGGAGGAAGGATAGCAGGCGCTTCTAGAGGCATTCTTCTTTACATATTTGACCGTTGATGGTGCCGGTCGTTATGTACGGCTTGCTGAATTTGCCGTACCCACAGATCACCTACCACGACCTTCTTCTTTCGGAACTTCTCCGGAACATCCAGGCGGGACTTGCCGACCAAAAACTGCAGGCCTGGGATCTGCTTGGCGTCCGCTTTAATGTACGTCTCGTCGTCCATTACGATGCATTTCGACTGCATCAACCACTCGCGGTACAGCTTCCTGGCGCCGGATTTGGCCACCTTATTCTGTTAATCGGTTCGGTTAGACGCCTTCCTTCCTTTGAAGACACGCGGGCCGGACGCTTCATTTGCTGGACGAACCAGAATTGACCTTCTTGGCCACGTCCCGAATCGAAAGGTTCGGATTGCGCTTGAAGTAATCCCTCAACCTTCCTTGCGTTCACGGGATCGGTCGTGTTCGCTTTTCTTCCGCTGCCAGCTCACCACTGGGTCGTCTGGTTTTCCTTGAACGATGTTACCACACGGAACACGGTCGAATTGTCGATTCCAAACTGTTTCGCGATCCACCTGTGGGATTTTCCACAACCGCTGCCATAATTTTTTGTCGAAGCACTTCTTGTTTGGAAGCCATCTCGATAACCACTTGACAGATTGTGACGAGATTTTGCACATGTAAACATTACACTCTAAACTAGTTATAATCAATAAATTTTCCTGGTTCACTTGCCACCCTGAAATCTGTAGAAATTATCCATGTTTAAGAATCCTAAATACCAATTCAAGTTTCAGAATTCATGTTGTTACTGATGATAAAAATCCACTCCAAAATTATTATGTTTAATGAGCAAGTGAACGTCGTGGACGATAAAGTTGGTTGTATTATAAAATGTTTTGAACTTCTTGATCAGTGTTGGCAAAATCATTGATCAAATTATATTTTTCACAGGTGATATTTTAACAAAATATCATGCTTGATATTGGTTTTACATGCTTCTTTGATATTGCGAGACTTACTGACATGTACAGGGTGGGGCAAGGTGGGATAATTGCTCCCCCTTTTATAAATAACATGTTTATTTTCACATTTAATTAAAATTATGAAATGAAATAACTTGATTTCT